GTTTTTTATCAGATCTGCTGCTCTTTCGTCTTCTGTTCTCGGTTCTTCTAGTACTGTTTTCTTTAATCCCAATAAATGAAAATGTCCCAACATTTTGGTCTCCCAAAGTTCATAGTTAGTCTCATCTCCATCGAACATCAGTCGAGGCAACCTGCTTGTCTTTCATTGCTTCGCCATGTTAGCTTGTTCTTTTTCTCCGTTAGCAGTCCCGTTAGCACGCAGTCCGTTGCGGTTTTCTAAACATTTTAGAACCAACTAGACTCCTGGGCCCATAACCTGTTGAGTTACAGTGTGCTTTTGGTACAGCCAACATTGCATTCGGGTGAAAAAGAGCAGACGAAAGATGAAGTTTAATCAGCCACTTTTTGGCATATTTATTGGAGAACTGGCACCGTGAACTACGGCAAGTTCAAGTAAACAAATATATATAAATTGACACACCTGCCATCTGTAACCTGCGCTGTAGCACCTCCCTGTGACATACAACTGAGGGCATGGTTAACATACTCTAACAGCAAGTCACCTTTTTCTGGTCGAGAACCATGGCCTCGGACTTGGAAGAGCTGAGTCTCATCCCAGCCGCTTCACACTCGGCTGCAAACCGCCCCAGTGCACATTGCAGGTCCTGGTTCGATGAAGCCAACAGGAAAACATCATCTGCAAACAGCAGAAATGATCCTGTGTTCCCCAAACCGGACCCCCTCCGGCCCCTGACTGCGCCTAGAAATTCTGTCCATAAAAACAATGAACAGAACCGGTGACAAAGGGCAGCCCTGGTGGAGTCCAACATGCACCTGGAACAGGTCTGACTTACTGCCGGCAATGCGAACACAGCTCCTGCTCCGGTCATACAGGGACCGGACAGCCCTTAGCAAAGGGCCCTGGACCCCATACTCCCAGAGCACCCCCCACAGGACACCACGAGGGACACGGTCGAATGCCTTCTCCAAGTCCACAAAGCACATGTGGACTGGTTGGGCAAACTCCCATGAACCCTCGAGCACCGATGGAGAGTGTAGAGCTGGTCCAGTGTTCCACGACCGGGACGAAAACCACACTGCTCCTCCTGGATCCGAAGTTCGACTATCGGCCGGATTCTTCTCACCAGTACCCTGGCATAGACCTTACCAGGAAGGCTGAGGAGTGTGATCCCCCTATAGTTGGAACACACCCTCCGGTCCCCCTTCTTATACAGAGGGACCACCACCCCGGTTTGCCAGTCCAGAGGTACTGTCCCCGACCGCCACGCGATGTTGAAGAGGCGTGTCAGCCAAGACAGCCCCACAACATCCAGAGATTTAAGGTACTCAGGACGGATCTCATCCGACCCCGGAGCCTTGCCACCAAGGAGCTTTCCAACCACCTCAATAACTTCGGCCAGGGTGATGGATGAGTCCGCCTCCGGGTCTGCAGCCTCGACTTTCTCTCGGAAGACGTGACGGTGGGATTGAGGAGATCCTCAAAGTATTCCTTCCACCACCGGACAACGTCCCCAGTCGAGGTCAACAGCTCTCCCCCCGCACTGTAAACAGTGTTGGTGAAGAACTGCTTCCCCCTCCTGAGGTGCCGGTCCTCCTCCATGGCCTCCCTGAACTCCTCCCAGCTCCGAGCTTTTGCCTCTGCAACCAAACAGGCTGCAGCACGCTTGGCCATCAGCTGCCTCAGGAGTCCCATGAGCCAACAAGGCCCGACAGGACTCCTTCTTCAGCCTGGCGGCATCTCTTACTTCCGGTGTCCACCACCGGGTTCGGGGATTACCGCCGCGACAGGCACCACAGAATTTACGGCCACAGCTCTGAGCAGCCGCATCGACAATAGAGGCGGAGAACGAAGCCCACTCGGACTCCATGTCCCCAACTCCCCCGGAATCTGTGAGAAGCCATTCTGGAGGTGAGAGTTGAAAGTCCCCCTGACAGAGGGCTCCACCAGACGTTCCCAACAGACCCTCACTAGACGCTTGGGCCTGTCAGATCTTTCCGGCTTCCTCCTCCACCAGTGAACCCAACTCACAACCAGGTGGTGATCAGTTGACAGCTCAGCCTCTCTCTTCACCCGAGTGTCCAGGACATGCGGCCGGAGGTCAGATCACACAACTACAAAGTCGATCATCGACCTCCGGCCGAGAGCGTCCTGGTGCCACGTGCACTTATGGACACCCTTGTGCTCGAACATGGTGTTTGTTATGGACAAACTGTGACTAGCACAGAAGTCCAATAAGAGAACACCGCTCAGGTTCAGGTCAGTTCCTCCCAATCACCCCTCTGCAAAGGCCAATTTACAGTCTACCGTCAAATCGTCTGCGTCACGACGCAGAGAGTCTGCGTTGACGTGTACCCCCTACACAGAGCCTCTGCGTCGACCGACGTGCACCGCCGAAATTTTCTAACTACGCGTCAAAACGACGCAGGCAGCAGGGGAAGCGACGCAGACGAGAAGACCTGTGATTGGTCCTCCATACCACTGCTCTGTTTACATTTCCTGTCGGCTTTTCTTTCTTTCAGTATTGAGAAATAATGAGAAGTATATTGAGAAATAATGTGTTTAGTGCAGCTTCGTGCATACGTGTTTACGTTTTACAGAAACGAAACTTAAAACTGCATGGCTAACTTACAAAAACTTAGCGCTCAAAAAACAGCTCCCTCCTGGTACGCGGTCAGCTTCTGTTGGACTTAAAAAGGACACGACTCAGTGGAATATGAGTGTTCTTTCTGTGAAAGCGGGATATTGTACTAATGGTGAGTCTGTTCTGTGCTTTTGTTGTGTTAGAGATGGTTCATGTTAAACTTTTCAGAGATTATACATCTGCGGGTCACACACACAGACCGTATATATGAATGGACAGATATCGTCGCCCCCCTAGTGCTTTGGCGGTGAATTACTTCATGGTGCACAGACCTCGACGCAGATCCATAAATCAAAAACCAACGGCGACAAGGCAACGGCGCGAGTTTGTGTTAAGTCGACGCAGAACTATACTTCACCCTCAAGTGTCACTGTCGTTGCCCATGTGGGCCTTGAAGTCCCCCAGTAGAACAATGGAGTCCCCGGTTGGTACACTGTCTAGTACCCCTCCAAGGGACTCCAAGAAGGCCGGGTACTCGAGTACTCTGCACTGCTGTTCAACCCGTAGGTGACACCACAGTGAGAGACCTGTCCCCGACCCGAAGGTGCAGGGATGTGACCCTCTCGTTCACCGGGGTGAACTCCAACACACAGTGGCTGAGCTGTGGGGCAATGAGCCCACACCAGCCCGCCGCCGCTCCCCGCGGCCAACGCCAGAGAAATGGAGAGTCCAGCCCCTCTCAAGGAGTTGGGTTCCAGAGCCCAAACTGTGTGTGGAGGTGAGGCCGACTATATCTAATCTGTAATGCTCAACCTCCCGCACAAGCTCAGGCTCTTTCCTCCCCAGCGAGGTGACATTCCATGTCCCCAGAGCTAGTCTCCATGTCCGGAGATCTGGTCACTGAGGCCCCCGCCTTCGACTGCCGCCCAGATCTCTCTGCACCCTGCCTCTATGGATCCTCCTCGGGCTGTGTCCGGCCGGGCCCCATGGGGAAGGCCTGGCCACCAGACGCTCGCTGTCAAGCACCCACCCCAGGCCTGGCTCCAGGGTGGGGCCCTGGTGACTCCAATCCGGGTGATGTAACTGGCCTTGTTCTTTTACTCGTCATAGGGGACCTCTGAACCACTCTTAGTCTGACCCGTCTCCCAGGGCCTGTTTGCCTTGGGTGACCCCAACAACATAGCTCTCAGGATCATTTGGGCACTCAAACCCCTCCACCACGATAAAGTGGCAGTTCAGGGAGGGAATCACTCTAAACAACTCACACAAAAAAAACAAAAAAAAGACCCTGCTTTATCCAACTGTGAAACATCTAAACTTCACACGATGATTTCTAAATCTGAGTTAGAGATGGTAATCCATGCACTTGTGTCCTCGAGACTAGACTATTGTAACAGTCTGTTTACCTGCCTGAGCAAGAAGGACCTGACCCGGCTGCAGATGGTCCAAAACTGTGCTGTAAGGTTCTGACCTGCAGCAGAAGGAGAGCTCATATCACTCTGATCTTAAAATCCTCATATTGGCTCCCTGTTCTTTTTCATATCCACTTCAAGATCCTGGTGCTGATCTTTAGGGTCCGACATGACCAGACTCCTGCCGTTATCTCAGACCTGATAAATCCTCCACCTGGAGTCTGAGGTTCACCAACCAAACTCACTAATGGTCCCTCGGACAAGTTTTAAAACACGAGGAGACTGATCCTTTCAAGCGTCTCCCCTAAACTCTGGAACGAACTGCCTCCTCACCTACACTCTCTAGACAGTGTAGATGCTTTTACAAAGAAACTAAAAACATTTCTCTTTGAACAAACATTCTCCCTCAGGTTTAGAGCTGAAACTAATTTTATTATGAAAGTATCTTACGCTGTTTTTATCTTTTGTATGTGAAGCATTTTGTGATCTACGTCTGTGAAAGCAACATATAAATAAACTTTACTTACTATGAATCTGCTGCTTGTGACGATGTTGGTTGTTTCTCAAATTTAGTTCAGATCAATGTCACAGTTTACAGTCCAAATGTAAAGTTTAGCGTCTAAATGTAAAATTTACAGTCTCAATGTAAAGTTTACAATCTTAATGTAAAGTTTACAGATTAAATGTAAAGTTTACATTCTAAATGTAAAGTTTACAGTCTTAATGTAAAATTTACATACTAAATGTAAAGTGCAGATCTTCGTATGTTTTAGTTTAAACTAAATAGCACAGAAACACAGTAGATCCATTTTCACAGCACTGGACGAGGTGTGGAGGTGTGGACTGTACGGGCCACGAGTGGAAAAAATAATGGCAAAATTAATCCATAAGAGAATAATGGTTTATTGAGTCTCTGGCTCCAGATGAGCCGCTCTAAGTTCTGGCCTCCATGAGCTTCATTTGGAGCTGAGCACTGTGGGCGACGTCACACTCAGAACACTTCTTCACACAGTGTGTGGTTCCAGGTTCTGGAGAAGCAGGTCCTGAGGTTTGTCCAACAGCAGCTGCAGAGGCTCCACAGGCTCCTGGCCTCAGATTACCCAGAATGCTCCGAGAGTGAGGAGGAGGAGAGCAGAGAGGTTCTGAACATCACCCTGGACTTCCTGAAGAGGATGGACCAGGAACATCTGGCCCAGCGCCTGCTCAACAGTAAGAACCTCCAGATGCCCTCCCTGTGTGTCAGGTGCCCTCCCCGTGTGTCAGATGCCCTCCCCGTGTGTCAGATGCCATCCCTGTGTGTCAGATGCCCTCCCCGTGTGTCAAATGCCCTCCCCGTGTGTCAGATGCCCTCCCCGTGTGTCAGATGCCCTCCCCGTGTGTCAGATGCCCTCCCCGTGTGTCAGATGCCCTCCCGTATGAAATATGTGACATGTTTCACAGTTAAACTCTTGTGTGTTGTTTACAGGGAGTAAAGTTGAATTCAGAGATAAACTGAAGTGTGATCTGCAGCAGAGGTTCAGCCGTGTGTTTGAGGGCGTGGCTAAAGCAGGAGACTCCGCCCCCCTGACCCAGATCTACACAGAGCTCTACATCACAGAGGGCGGAGCCTCAGAGGTCAACCAGGAACATGAGGTCAGACACGTGGAGACGGCGTCCAGGAGACCGACCGCTCCAGAGACCATCACATGTGAAGAGCTCTTTAAACCCCGCCCACATTCACCACAGCCAATCAGGTTTGTGCTGACGAAGGGTGTGGCCGGCGTGGGGAAAACAGTGCTGACTCAGAAGTTGAGTCTGGACTGGGCTGAAGGCCGGACCCACCAGGACCTCCAGCTGCTGTTCCCGTTCACTTTCAGAGAGCTCAATGTGCTCAGAGACTCACAGTTCAGCCTGGTGGAGCTTCTGCAACACTTCTTCAGTCCATCCAAACATCTCTGCAGCTTTGAAGACCTCCAGGTGCTCTTCATCTTTGACGGTCTGGACGAGTGCAGACTTCCTCTGGACTTCAGCCGAACCCGAGTCCTGAGCGACCACACAGAGTCCACCTCAGTGCACGTGCTGCTGGTGAACCTCATCAGGGGGAGCCTGCTTCCCTCCGCTCGCCTCTGGATAACCACGCGCCCCGCCGCAGCCAATCAGATCCCTGCTGAGTGCGTCTCCATGGTGACAGAGGTGCGAGGGTTCACTGACCCGCAGAAGGAGCAGTATTTCAGGAAGAGGTTCAGAGACCAAGCCACATCCATCATCTCCCACATCAAGAGCGTCCGCAGCCTCCACATCATGAGCCACCTGCCGATCTTCTGCTGGATCCTCTCCACAGTTCTACAGAAGCTTCTGGAACAAACAAAACCAGAGCTGCCCCAAACTCTCACACAGATGTACGTCCACTTCCTGGTGGTGCAGGCCAAAGTCAAAAACATCAAGTATCACCAAAGATCAGGGGAGGACCTTCACTGGACTCCAGAGACCAGGGAGATGGTGAAGTCTCTGGGGAAACTGGCCTTTGAGCAGCTGCAGAAAGGAAACCTGATCTTCTACGAGAGTGACCTGAGCGAGTGTGGGCTGGACGCTGCAGCGGCCTCAGTGTACTCCGGAGTGTTCACACAGATCTTTAGAGAGGAGCCAGGCCTGTACCAGGACAAGGTCTACTGCTTCATCCATCTGAGTGTGCAGGAGTTTCTGGCGGCTCTTCACGTCCATCAGACCTTCTTCAGCTCTGGAGTGGACCTTCTGTCCTCACCTCACTCCTCTGAGAGTCCAGACCCTGAGGCAGACTTCTACCGCTCTGCTGTGGACCAGACCTTACAGAGTCCAAACGGACACCTGGACCTGTTCCTGCGCTTCCTCCTGGGGCTGTCTCTGCCAACCAATCAGAGGCTGCTGCAGGGTCTGCTGACTCACACAGGAAGTGACCGGACCAATCAGGAGACAGTAAATTTCATCAAACAGAAGCTGGATGAAGAGGGTCTGTCTGCAGAGAGGAGCATGAACCTGCTCCACTGTCTGAACGAGCTCAACGACCACAGTCTGGTGCAGGAGATCCAGAAGAACATGAGAAGTTTCCTCTCTGATGGAACCATGTCTCCTGCTCAGTTGTCTGCTCTGTCCTTCGTCTTACTGTCCTCAGACTCAGACCTGGAGGAGTTTGACCTGAGGAAATACCATGGCTCAGAGAGAGCTCTCCTGGGTCTGCTGCCGGTGGTCAGAGCCTCCACCAAAGCCCTGTGAGTCCAGACTGTATTTAAACTCTTGTGTGGAGGTTCTAGTCTCTAATGTCCCTCTCTGTCCTCAGTCTTTGTGGCTGTGGTCTGTCCCCTCACAGCTGTGCTCCTCTGGCCTCAGTCCTCAGCTCCTCCAGTCTCACACATCTGGATCTCAGTAACAACGACCTCCAGGACTCAGGAGTGGAGCTGCTGTGTTCTGCGCTGAAGAGCGCCCCCTGCAGACTGGAGACGCTCAGGTGAGATGGTCTGTAATGGTCTAATACTGTCCCATTGTGTCCACATTAATCCCTGCTGCTGTGTCTTTAGTCTGTCTGGATGTCTGGTGTCAGAGAGCGGCGGCGCTGCTCTGGCCTCAGCTCTGAGCTCCGCCCCGTCCCACCTCAGAGAGTTCGACCTGAGCTACAACCATCCAGGACCCTCAGCAAAGCTCCTGAGCGCTCTACAGGACCAGCGCCCCCTGCTGTCTGTCAGGTGAGACCACACTGGTGTTTGGTCCTGGTTTGGTCCTAGTCCTGGTCCTGGTGTGGTCCTGGTCTGGTCTCTGGTCTGATCCTCGGTAGGTCCTGGTCCTGGTCTGGTCCTGGTCTGGTCTCTGGTCCTGGTCTGGTCCTGGTCTGGTTTCTGGTCTGGTCTCTGGTCCTGGTCTGGTCCTGGTCTGGTCTCTGGTCCTGGTCTGGTCCTGGTCTGGTCCTGGTCTGGTCCTGGTCTGGTCCTGGTTTGCTCTGGTCCTGGTCTCTGGTCCTGGTGTGGCCCTGGTCTGGTCTGGTCCTGGTCTGGTCTGGTCTGATCCTGGTCCTGGTCCTGGTCCTGGTCTGGTCCTGGTCTGGTCCTGGTCTGGTCCTGGTCCTGGTCTGGTCCTGGTTTGGTCCTGGTCTGGTCTGGTCTGGTCCTGGTGTGGTCCTGGTGTGGTCCTGGTCTGGTCCTGGTTTGGTCCTGGTCCTGGTCTGGTCTAAACTGTACTTGTGTGTTTCAGGTTGGATCCTGCTGGAGAGCGCTGGATGGTTCCAGGTCTGAGGAAGTGTGAGTCTGTTTTGTTTCCTTCATAAAGTAAAGTGCAGAGAACAGCTCAGGTCATTCACCCAGGTCATTCACTCAGGTCATTCACCCAGGTCATTCACCCAGGTCATTCACTCAGGTCATTCACTCAGGTCATTCACCCAGGTCATTCACTCAGGTCATTCACCCAGGTCATTCACTCAGGTCATTCACTCAGGTCATTCACCCAGGTCATTCACTCAGGTCATTCACTCAGGTCATTCAGGTCATTCACCCAGGTCATTCACTCAGGTCATTCACCCAGGTCATTCACTCAGGTCATTCACTCTGTTTCAAATGGTTCAAATGTCAACATCTCCAATCAGGGGCATGACAGGGGTGTGACAGGTATTTTACAGGTGTGTGACAGATCTATGTCAGTGGTGTGACAGGGGCATGACGGGTGTGTGACAGGTGTGTGACAGGTGCGTGACAGATCTATGTCAGTGGTGTGACAGGGGCATGACGGGTTTGTGACAGGTGTGTGACAGGTGCGTGACAGATCTATGTCAGTGGTGTGACAGGGGCATGACGGGTGTGTGACAGGTGTGTGACAGGTGCGTGACAGGTGTGTGACAGGTGCGTAACAGGTGTGTGACAGATGCATGACAGGTGTATTACAGGTGAGTGACAGGTGTGTGACAGGTGCGTGACAGGTGCGTAACAGGTGTGTGACAGATGCATGACAGGTGTGTGACAGGTGCGTAACAGGTGTGTGACAGATGCATGACAGGTGTATTACAGGTGAGTGACAGGTGTGTGACAGGTGAGTGACAGGTGTGTGACAGGTGAGTGACAGGTGTGTGACAGGTGTGTGTGACAGGTGACAGTGAACAGTGTGTGACAGGTGTGTGACAGGTGTGTGACAGATGAGTGACAGGTGTGTGACAGGTGTGTGACAGGTGTGTGACAGATGAGTGACAGGTGTACAGGTGAGTGACAGGTGTGTGACAGGTGAGTGACAGGTGTGTGACAGGTGTGTGAGGTGACAGGTGAGTGACAGGTGTGTGACAGGTGACAGGTGTGTGACAGGTGAGTGACAGGTGTGTGACAGGTGTGTGACAGGTGTGTGACAGATGAGTGACAGGTGTGTGACAGGTGTGTGACAGGTGTGTGACAGATGCATGACAGGTGTATTACAGGTGAGTGACAGGTGAGTGACAGGTGTGTGACAGGTGAGTGACAGGTGTGTGACAGGTGAGTGACAGGTGTGTGACAGGTGTGTGACAGGTGAGTGACAGGTGTGTGACAGGTGTGTGACAGGTGAGTGACAGGTGTGTGACAGGTGTGTGACAGGTGAGTGACAGGTGTGTGACAGGTGAGTGACAGGTGTGTGACAGGTGTGTGACAGGTGTGACAGATGAGTGACAGGTGTGTGACAGGTGAGTGACAGGTGATTGACAGGTGTGTGACAGGTGCAGTAAACACAGACTCAGAACAAAAGAATGAGGTGAAGTGTTTGTGTTTCAGATTCCTGTGACGTTTCTCTGGACAGAAACTCGGCTCACAAACTTCTGCATGTGTCTGACGACTATCAGACTGTGACTCGAATGTTGAGGTGGCATGAGTATCCAGATCATGACGACAGGTTCACAGACTGGGTACAGGTCCTGAGCTGCACTGACCTGAGGGGGCGCTGTTACTGGGAGGTGTACTGGAGGGGGGGGTTGTTATAGCAGTGAGTTACGGAGAGATCAGACGGAGCGGAAGAGGACGGGAGTGTCAGTTTGGATTCAATGATCACTCCTGGACTCTGTGGATCGATTATCAAGGAGAGTATAATGTTATTCACAACAGCATCACAAAACAACTCCACCGCTTCTGTCACTCAGACAGAGGGGGCGTGTCCTCTGGTGAAGGGGGCGTGTCCTCTGGTGAAGGGGGCGTGCTCTCTGGCAGAGTGGGCGTGTTCCTGGACTCTGAGGCTGGAGCTCTGTCCTTCTATCACGTCTCCTCTGATGGAGAACTGTTCCACCTCTGGACCTTCTCCTCGTCCTTCTCTGAGCCTCTGTTTCCAGGGATTGGACTGTGGAAAGAAGGTTCCTCTGCGACTCTGGTGAAGGAGACGAGACAAAACAGAAGAGAAACTGGACTTGTCCCACGATTGGGAAAGAGGAATAAGAACAAAGTGGAGCTTCAATGTCTCTGTTGAAATTTGACTCAAATAAAAACTGGAAACACAGAAACTGAACGAGGCCAAAGCGACTGGACGGGACAGGTAGCACAAAATAAAGCAGCTCGACTTGTCCTGAAGTGTCCATTCAGGACAAGCATCAATGAGATGCATAATCCGTTGGCCTGGATGCATGTTAGAGGAAGAATCAAGTACTCGTTGATTAAATTCATTAGAAACCTGATAGTCACAAAAACACGAAAAATGCTGTATTGTAAATTAACCACGTTCAGTGACGTGCATCAGTACTGCACGAGACAGTCAGGTGAGAGTCGCTTTCTGTTAACGACCTGTCGCTCAAATCAAAACCAGAGGACAGTGCGCTATAGAGCAATGGTGGCATGGAACTCACTCCCACAGTTTCTCATCTCAGGAATGTGGATGCTTAGTTTCCATAAAATGCTCAGACTGTTCATTTTCACTCAGGGGTCGTATTGTGGGAATAGTTGTAATTTTGTGTGTTTTGTACTTCAGACTGGTGGAGGGCCAATAACCTGTCTCTCCACAACATGGAAGCTCATGTCAGGCATCATTGTGGCTAAGATAAGTGGGCACATGAATCAATACATGAGCGCAGCACAGAAGGGTATCGGCAAAAACACCAGGGGAGCCAAACACCAACTCCTGGTTGACCGAACAGTCGCCCGCGACTGCAGAACCCGTAAGACCAACCTGTGCACTGCCTGGATGGATTACAAGAAAGCCTATGACTCAATGCCACACACATGGATCACTGAGTGCTTGAAGCTGTACAATATCAACAGGACTCTAAGGGCGTTCATTGCGAACTCGATGCGGTTGTGGAAAACCACCCTTGAGGCCAAGGGGAAGCCACTTGCACATGTGTCCATCAAATGTGGCATATACCAAGGAGACTCACTGTCCCCACTACTGTTCTGCATAGGCCTGAACCCTCTCAGCCAAATAATCGACCGCACTGGCTATGGATACTGACTCAGAAACGGGGCCACCATCAGTCACCTCCTCTACATGGATGACACCAAGCTGTACGCTAAGAGTGAGCGAGACATCGACTCACTGATCCACACCACAAGGATCTACAGTACAGACATTGGGATGTCATTCGGGCTTGAGAAATGTAGCAGGATGGTGACAAAGAGAGGGAAGGTAGTCCACACAGAGGGGGTGTCACTCCCAGAGGGAACAATAGCAGACGTTGAGGACAGTTACAAGTACCTTGGTATCCCACAAGCAAGTGGCAACCTCGAAGAGGCAACAAGGAAAGCGGCTACGGCCAAATACCTGCAAAGAGTGAGGCAAGTCCTTAGAAGCCAGCTCAATGGCAAGAACAAGGTGCAGGCAATCAACAGCTACGCCCTGCCAGTGATCAGATACCCTGCAGGAATTGTAAGCTGGCCAAAGGAGGAGATACAGACCACAGATGTTAAGACACGAAAGCTCCTGACCTGCATGGAGGGTTCCATCCCAAATCCAGCACCCTGAGACTGTACGCAGGCCGGAAGGAAGGGGGCCGAGGACTAGTGAGTGTTGGAACCACTGTCCAGGATGAAACATCCAAGCTCCTTGAGTACATCAAGGACAAGGCCCCGGCAGATGAGGTGCTCAGAGAATGTCTCAGACAGTGGGGTCCAGAGGAAGAGGGGCTGGAGGGACCATCATGGCAGGACAAACCCCTACATGGGGCGTACCACCGGAGCATAACTGAAGTGGCTGATATCAAGAAATCCTACCAATGGCTTGAGAGGGCTGGTCTGAAGGACAGCACAGAGGCACTGATCCTGGCTGCTCAGGAGCAGGACCTGGGCACTCGAGCAATAGAGGCCCAGATCTACCACACCAGACAAGACCCACGGTGTAGACTGTGCAAAGAGGCTCCTGAGACAGTCCAGCACATAACTGCAGGGTGTAAGATGCTGGCAGGGAAAGCATACATGGAGCGACATAACCAAGTTGCGGGCATAGTGTACAGAAACATCTGTGCAGAGTTCGGGCTGGAGACCCCAGGATCAAGGTGGGAAACACCTCCAAAGGTTGTGGAGAACGACCGAGCCAAGATCCTGTGGGACTTCAGATACAGACTGACAGAATGGTGATGGACCAACCAGACATAGTGGTGGTGGATAAGAAACAGAGCAGAGCCGTGGTGGTTGACATCACAATACCAAGCGATGGTAATATCAGGAAAAAGGAACACGAGAAACTAGAGAAATACCAGGGGCTCAAGGAAGAGCTGGAGAGAGCCTGGAAAGTAAAGGCATCAGTGGTGCCTGTGGTGATCGGACACTCGGGGCTGTAACCCCCAAACTGGAAGAGGCTACAACAGATACCGGGAAAAACAACGGACATCTCAGTCCAGAAAAGTGCAGTACTGGGAACAGCAAAGATACTGCGCAGAACTCTCAAGCTCCCAGGCCTCTGGTAGAGGACCCGAGCTCAATGAGGGTGAGAGAGACCTACCACCGTGGAAGGTGAGAAACACTTTTTTTTTTTATATATATATATATATATATACACACACACACACATACACACACACACACATATATATATATATGTAAATAATTGATTGATTATTATGATTATTTGTATATTTTTGTTATCTTTCATTGTTTGTGCAAATGTGGTGCATGTACATCCTGTAGAAAAAAATAAAATAAAACAAAAAAGCATTTATAGACTGTCACCAACCCCAGGAAGAATAGTTGCTGTTTTTCAGTAGCTAATGGGGATCTTAACTAAAAACAAACGAACAGTTCTTCACTTTGGATCTGACTGTTTTGGACCAGAAAGTTCAATGTTCAATTCTAACATTAGTTTTGTTCAGTGTGTCATTAAAGCTCGTCAGTCCCTGTAAAATCAATTAATCAATCGCAGTCTGTGCCTACTGGTTTGTCCCAGTTAAATCCTGTTTTAGGCCTGGTTTTAGTTCTGATTTAGTCCTGACCAAACCAGGTCTACAAGCAGGACTAAGCAGGACTAAACCAGGATCTGTAAGCTGTAGGGGAATACATTTTAAAAGTAACCTTCCCAACACGTACAATCTGCACATGAATGATCTCTGTAAAGTTTAACATCTTAACCATCTCCAGAAAAGACTCACCATCCGTCCGACAGAAGCTCCACATCAGGGCACAGAGAGAACTGTTTTTTTTGGAGGATATTTTATTCAAATTAGTCATGTGGTGTTAGGTTTGTTTTTTGTGCACAAAGCTGCATTAAATACATTATAATCTCAAATGGGCTGATGTTGCTCTACAGTAGGTCTGGGCCAAATGCTGACATTTAAATTACATTTGAACCACTTTTAATGTTACTGTGATCTTACTCGAGTCTAAACTTGAACTGCTGAACAGACAGATCAGCTAGTATAACCACTAGCTGTACATCACATAAGCTAAATAAAGTGCCCATGATCCTGTGATGCTTTCAACTTAATTACCCAAATATTAATGGTCGGACAGGCATCGCAAATATATTTTGTAGCAACACTGACTTACCTTTTACCTTACCTTTGTTTTGAATTTTATTTCTTTGGATTCTCAAATCCAGCTTCCTGCACTTTTCACAGGAAATGACATAAGCAGACACATCACCATTCCCTTTTTTCTTGAGACGGGTGTAAATAGAAGAATCGCGTCCATTGAACTATTAACACTCAGGGTGCAAATAGACACTCCGGACTCCACGTGACTCACGGTGGGCAGGCCGCCATTTTGGCAGTAAAAATGGATACTGCTACCGCCGAAGCTTTCAAGCCATTGGAGTGCTCAGCTCACTTTAAATCACAAGACACTGAGCTTTATATAAAAAAAATTAAACCAATTAAACATTACCGACCCGTATAATGCCCCCTGGGTGCTTTTTAAAAATATTTCCGCTGAAGAAGACGTCCCAGATCTGCAGTACACCGGCAAACCAACCTAATTGGTCCGATTGATTAGCCTCTGTTTCCTGGTAGAACAGCGATACCTCCAACTATCAACACTGATGTTCCCTGTTAAGACCACGAGCTGTCCCCATCTCAAGTGTCATCATGAACTCATAAAATAGCAACATGTAGAACTTTGTACAAACTCACCACATCAGCCTGGAGCAGAAGCTCTGAGCTCAGGAAACAGCAGCAGCAACAGCGATAAAGAGGAATACTCACTGTAGCTCAGACCCTCAGGACGGGGCTGGGGTCTGGTCCTTGGTCCGGTCCTCCAGGCGCGTTGGTCAGATGGTCCGGAGGTTCCGTCCTCAATGTGCTGGTTCCAGAGGTGGGCAAGCAAGACCAGTGTTTGATGGTCTGGGTCAGAGTGGCTCCGTGTCATCGTCTGTGTGCTGGTTCCATGTGGGGAAAGCAAGAATGCGCTGTGGACTGCAGGTCCGGGTGTGCTGCTCCGGTCCTCCGCGCTCAAGAACCGCGGCTGGTTCCAAGGTGATGCAGCATCCGGACAGAAGTGTGAGTCCTGTTTGGTTGGTTTTATGTTGTTCTGAGCGTTCGTCCTTCACGCTCTTGGTTCTTCTCGGGCCGAGGCTTCTGACATCACTCCCCGCTCCATCTCCTCTGATCCCGACCTGAACCGGAGCTGCTCCCGCTGGGTCAGGACTCTGGTCTAGATTTAGTCCAACTATATTTCTCACACGAGGCTAAAATCAGAACATTTTTAAAGTTGAATCAATTGAATAGGCTATTGCCTATTGCCATAAAATGATTTGGTTAATTAAACCCTAAAATAACAAATGCTGGTTGGTACGTGAACACAGGGAACACCGGGACCTCTCTGTGCGTGCAGGTCCTGACTAGAGGTATGCAACCATAATTCTGACTCACTCTGGAGCCACACGTTCACACATTGGTTCTCTGATCTTCATGTGTTACATTCTCTGTATTGTGTGCTGTGGTTCAAGACAAGAAAAATATCCGATGAAGGCTTTTTTGCCGAAACGTTATTTTGTTAATAAAAA